GAAGGAAGGAAGGAAAGAAGGAAGGAAGGAAGGAAGGAAGGAGGGAGGGAGGGAGGGAGGGAGGGAAGGAAGGAAGGAAGGAAGGAAAAGAAAGAAAGGAAGGAGACAGGGAGGAAGAAAGGAAACAAATAGGGATGAATAAACATAATGAAAAAGTAAGACATATTTGATCATTATTTTCATCAGCTATTAATAAAGAATTGATAAGTGGGTTTGTTTTCTATTTTTTTACTGAAATCTATATGGTCCTAAGAAATTTGTATTAATATAGATCATCATGTGACACCTTCTACTGCAAATGTCGTGCATACATAATCTGGAAACATATCAAACTTTAATAGTAATGTTCACTTGGAAAAATATCTCTGCACAAATTTCTTAACACTCCACTTTCTCGCACAAGTGTGTTGCTTTGTCACTTTTGTACTTAGTAAAATCTTGTGCCAGTTGTGAAATCCACCCAGCTGGAGAAGATGGTACCAGCAGAGTCTCCATGACAATTACATATTTAGTAGCACTGTTTCTGTATCAGTTGAAATCACTGGGGTCATGGCATAGCAATATATTTACAATCTGCATTTTATATAAATATCTAGTTAAACTTCTTTTTTTTTCTAGTTAAACTTCTTCTAGGCAAGTGTGTAATTAGGAAATTAGATTGTCTATTCACAGCTATTGGAGTAACAAGTTTACATTTTCCAAATGTGATAAATCAGTTTACATTTCTATACCTTGGATGCTTCACTTGTAAAAGGGAGAAGTCTTAGACTTGTTAGGATTCTACAAAGTCACAAATATAAAGGATGTTGTACATAGCTTATCTATCAAAGCAAGCAATTAGTAAAGGTTGGCTATTTTATTTAATTCTTCACATTATAATGGTATTGATGCTATCTTTGTTTTGGTGCTAGGAAATGGAGGAGAGTGTTTGGTAAGTTTTCAACACAATATGCTTTATTTTACAATCACTGGGAGATGTGTCTGGTGTTGCCATCTCACCCTCCATCCTGTCTGGGTGATGTTCGTGGGCTTAGTTATTCTGTCCTTTAATTACTGTGTGGTTTATCCTTTCTTCCTCAGTGCTGTTAATTTACTGACTGTCCGCTGTGTAGCTCTCTGCCCTGTCTCAGGCACCTGTTAGTTATTAGTATTTATGTGTATCAGGAAGTGGTTCACTCCTTCTTAGGTTTGGTTTGCAGTAAACTGATCTCCAAAGATCTCCTTTAGAAAACGCCTCTCCCTTACCCCTTATGTTCACTGTCCTTACTGTTTTACTAAATATTAAGGGTTCTTTGACAATTTTGGTGCTCATAGATTTTGGGGGACAAGAGTAATATCAATCTGTCATTACACTAGAAAGTTTGTTTTAAACTCACAGATCAAATGTGCCCTAATAAATTTTGTTTTTCATGTAGATTTTTTTAAAAAAATTAACAAAATGGGATTTATGAAAGTTAAAATGTTATTTTCTAGTCATCATCTAAAGAAATCCTATGCCTTTGAATTTCTTTTCTGCGAAATTTTTAAAACTTAGGGTGAAAACAGTTCTCTCATACTTGCTACTCAATTTTACAGACAATAAGTATTGCTTCTTGGGGGAAAAAATCAAGTCACCTCTGGTTATTTAGCAATCTTTGTCACATTAATTATTTAATTCTTCATTTATTCAGTCTTCTATTTTTTAAAGTAAAATTATAGCTAGATAAGCTCTTAGCTAATTTTTTATAATACCAACTGAGAATCTCGGGCAATCTGGTGGCTCAGTGCTATCTAAACACAGGGAGTTCGAATCCACCAACTGCTCAGTCGGAGAAAGGTAGGTAATCTCCTCCTCTGGGATTTACAGCCACTGAAAATCTGCTAAAGAGTCAGAAATAACATAACAACAACAGAGAATCTAATTCTTCATTCTTTCTAGATGATATTAAAAATAGTTTATGTGTAACTAATATACTCATGGCTATTATTTGGAAGTATCAAGACTCTAATCCTGTTTTCTTTACCCCAGTGAAATTTATGCATTGGTATAGACTATTGAATCTATACTATAAATTACCAAAAAAAAATATTTTGGGAGAAGGATACTTCTTAAAGGCATAGGTGAGACTCTGTCTCACACACATTGATCATGTCATCAGAAAAGGCCAGGAAAATAAGAGATCAGTGAGGTTAGGGAGACCATTAACAACATGAATTGACAGGGTGAATGAAGCAATGCGCTTACACACAGCAGAAGGTGTTTTGAATTTTTAGTACATTTTATTGCCTTGATTCAAAGTTGACTAGAGAGTACCTAGCAACAACATATGTCCACATACATTTATACAATTTCAGTATATTTTCTGAAACCTGATTGATGATTTACAAGAAATCGCTTGAAAGTTGTATTTAAATTAAAAGAATTTGAAAGTTTACAAGTATTAAAAAATATTTATTAGCCTGAGTCTGACAAAGAGTCTTGGCCATCTCCATCTCCTGTCATGTATTTATATGCTCTGAAAAGGAAAGAGGAAAGTCACTGAGCCTTTGCCTTCTTTATTTATTATTATTTTTCTAAATCTGAGTGTGAAAGTCCAGTGTCTGGAATCTTTCACTTTATCCCGATGGTCAGATTTCTAGTTGTACCTGTGAAGTAAAATCAAACCCACCATCACACTTTGATGTAATTGGTCTCATTTGTACAACTGTTTTCATCTAGGACACAAGGAAAGGACCCTGGGCAAATCTGAGGTACAATTTTCTTATCTACACTTGAGTTTTAGCAGAAAAGGATCTCTACCAGTATTACTGATATAGCAAACTGTCATCATCAATCAAAAATGTCATTAGTCAGTACTTAACTAATGACTAACAGATAAAGCTTAATACCAACAGGAAACCATGACAGTAAAAGATATTTATAGTATATAAACATACTATTACCAGTAACTACTCATTGTCTATATTCTAATATTATTATGATAGGTTAACAAACATTGCAAAAGAATGAGAGTTTGTCCTAATCAGTTCTTATACAATAAATATATTAGGTGGGATATGAATCATTTGCAAATAATGCCACAAAATTTATATAAATTAAACTGTATATTTATAATCTCATAATATTCCTGAACAAATAATACTAACAAAGAAGCTAAAGTTGCACTGAAGGTATTGGAAAAAAATATGGCCTCAGGAATTCAAGAAATATCTTTATTGAGGTGTTTAAGCAAATAAATGCCGTCTTTGACATATATGCCAAGATATTTGGAAGACCATTATCTATCCAATTGACTGAAATAAGTTCATACTTGTCTTTATTCCAAGAAAAACTGAGCTAACAGATTGGATAAATTATAGAATGCTTTAATTAATATGAAATGGTAGTAAAATCATGTTGAAGTTTATTTAAAAATTATTAGAGTACCAGTGAAAGAATTTTTCTTTTACTTTTCAAAGAGAGAAGCAAACTGGGGTGGGGGGGAGGGCTGGGCAGGGAGAAAAGTGCAACAATGAAGGAACGGAAACCCAAAATCTCTGTAAATGTTCATTAAAATTAATAAAAACTTATTAGAGCAGCACATCAACAAGGAACTGCCAGGAAATCAAGCTAAAATGTCAAGAAGAGACTGTAGAATAAGGGATGTCATTGTTGATATCAGATAGATGTTGACTCAAACCATAGACTATCAGAGAGATGTTTCCTTGTGTCTTATTAACTATGCAAAGTCACTGAGCTGTATAGATTATAATAAGTAACAGATGACATTAGAAGAATGAGAATTTCAGAACACTTCTTAGCTGACCCTCCAGTGGGTTTTCAGAGGCAGCAATATTTACTTAATAAATACTTAATCTTAAGATTCATAGTGTTAAGAAAGTCAGCTAGATAAACATTTTAGAGATTTTAAAATTACCATTTTTGTAATCATAAGTAATTTATTAATAAATGAAAGAGATAAAATTTCACCAACTTCAGTGAGTTTAGAGATATTTCATCTCTAAAAATTATAATAAGCAATCATATAGAGATCCTTTATATAGCACTTTTGATCTTATTCTAAGCATTTGTAAATAAAGCTATTTAATTTCCAAAATTAACAAATGCATTTATTCTGTTTATTTCAGACTTAAATGCAGAAAGGTACCTGGTAATCGTCAGTTGATTAAGATTATATAGATAATAAAGGAAGATATTGACTGCATTATCCCTGGGTCCAAAGTTATAAAAAAAAAAAAAGAACCAGTGCTACATTTACTTGAATACACATGTATGTGCACTTGTTTTTCTGTGTCTCTGTTCAAATTAGAACACAATTTCAGTAGTCTATAAAAATCTTACTGATATATAATGTTATTATGTACTATTGAGTTGCCTGTGATTCATAGTGACTCTATATGAGCCAATTTCACTGTCTCTGACACACATACCCACATTATCCCAGTTACTGTGTCAATCTATCTTATCTGATCTGAGGTCTTTCTATCCTGGCTGTCCCTCCACTCTTCCAAGAATGTCCTTCTCCAAGGATTGGTCCCGCCTGGCCCCATGTCCAAAGTATATGAGACAGAACTTCAAAATCTTAGCTTCCATGGAGCAACTTGGTTTCACACTTTCCAGGATATACCTGTTTGTTCTCTTGGCAGTCCATGGTATACTTTCCTCCAGCACTACGACTTGGTCCTATAATTAACACTCTTGGCACTAGCAGTTAGGAAATAAAAAAGAACTAATTTTATTAGGAAAATCTACTCTAAGGGACCTCTTCAGAGTGCTAAAGAGCAATAATGTTAGTCTAGAGACTAAGGTGCGCCTGATGCAGATCATGGTCTTTGCAATTACTTGCTATGCATAAGAAAACTGGACAACTACCAAAGATGACAGAAGAAGAAACAATGTCTCTGAGTGGTGGTGCTGGAGAAGAGTATTAAAGTGTATTAAACACTTCAAAACATCTTGACTTTCCAAGTGTGGCCCATGCATTTGTAGAAAACAATGCTTGTTAAACTAATGATGACATATACATATGGCTGTGAAAGAATATATAAAATATAAAAAAGACGTATCTTTCTCAACCGTCATTTAACAATTTTTTAAAAATCTCATCTTCGTAATTGCAATAACTTTACAGTTTCACATCCTTTATGCCAGGCTTTCTTTGAGGCTTCTTTTACTTCTTTGTTCCTTAGACTGTAGATGAGAGGATTCAACATAGGGATCACCACAGTGTAAAATACCGAGGCCATTTTGTCGGTGTCCAGGGAGTGGTTTGATTTGGGCTGTAGGTACATGAAGATCAGTGTGCCGTAGAAAATCGTGACAGCCACCATATGAGAGCCACACGTGGAGAAGACCTTGAGTCTTCCCTGGGTGGAGCGGATCCTCAGGATGGCCGCAATAATGAAGAGGTAGGAGATGAGAACAATGGAGGACGAGCAGATCATATCAAAGCCAGCAAAAGCAAAGATCAGAATTTCCTTCACGTGTGTGTCGGAACATGACAGAGCTAAGAGGGGCAGGTCATCGCAATAGAAATGGTTGATTATGTTGGGGCCACAGTAAGTTAGACGGAAGGTGACAATGGTGTGGAAGAGGGCAACCAGAAAGCTGTAAATATAGGGCACAGCCACGAGTTGAGTGCAGACTCTTTTGGACATCAGGACTGAATAGTGCAGGGGACTGCAGATGGCCACATAGCGATCGTAAGCCATGGAAGCCAAAAGGAAGCACTCGGTGATCATGAAGGTGAGGAAGCAGCCCAGCTGTGTTGCACATGCGTAGAAAGGGATAGTGTTGACCTGCACGACGAAGTTCATCATCATCTTCGGGGTGATGGCAGAGGAGTAACAGAAGTCGACAAAGGCCAGGTGGCTGAGGAAATAGTACATGGGTGTGTGGAGTCGAGTGTCAATCCTGATTAAGATAATCAAGCCAATATTTCCCACAACCGTGACCAGGTAGATGACCAAAAATATCACAAAACATGGGGCCTGGAGCTCTGGACGATCTGTGATCCCTTTGAGAATGAATTCAGTGACGTAACTGAGATTAGCACCAGCCATTTATTCCAGTGGATAGATACTGCTGTTGCAGAAAAATAATAACTTGAACAGCCCCTGGAAGGGATGAGGGAAGATGGTTATGCATGTCTTGTCAGCTTGGAATTATGTCATCAGATGGGTAAAAACATTCATCTTAGCTTTTAACTGCCTTCTTTTCCTTGGGAAAAGACATCTCTTACTTTCAGAATAATCTTGAAAGTTATTTCCCTTTCTAATTTTTTTAAAAAGAAATATTATTAAAAACAAACCACTTGAAACAATCACTATCAGCATTTCAGGGAGCTCTGGTGGCATAGTGGCAAGAAGCTGTGCTGCAATCCCGAAGGTATGCAGTTCGAGGCCACCAGCTACTTTGCAGGAGAAGGATGGACAATCTCCTCCCATATGATTAACTGCTTCTGAAAACCCGCCGGATGGTCAGCAATGGGTCAGTTCCATTTCTATGGCACACAACAACAACAACAACAACAATCAAACAATATTTCAGAGTGGTTTTTTTTCCCCCTCTGCCATTATCTTTTCTTTTTTTTTCCTTTTTAATACTTTTAATGAGCATTTACAGAGATTTTGGATTTCCATTCATTCATTGCTGCACTTCTCTCCCCGCCC